CTGCCTCCTGGGTTCAAGTGATTCTCCTGCCTCAGCTACTCAAATAGCTAGAATTACAGGCAAGTGCCACCACGCCTGGCTAATGTTGATATTTTTAGTAGAGACAGGGTTTTACCCTGTAGGCCAGGCTGGTCTCAAACTCCTGACCTCAAGTAATCTGTCTGCCTCGGCCTCCCAAAGTGCTAGGATTACAGGATGAGCCACCACACCTGGCCAATACAGGATTCTTGTGCTTTTTTTTTTTCTTTCTTTCTTTTTCTTTTAGAGACAGGATCTCGCTGTGTTGCTCAGGCTGGAGTGCAGTGGCTGTTCACAGGCACAGTCCCACTACTGATCAGCACGGGAGTTTTGACCTGCTCTGTTCTAACCTGGGCTGTTTCACCACTTCTTAGTCAACCTAGTGGTCCCCCACTCCTGGGAGGTCACCACATTGATGCCGAACTTAGTGCAGACACCAGGTCAGCATAGCACACTACAGCCCAGAACTCCTGGGTTCAAGCGATCCTCCAACCCCAGCCTCCCAAGTAGCTGGGACTACAGGCATGTCCCACCGCGCCTAGCCAATACAGGATTCTTTTTTTTTTTTTTTCTTTAGTGGAAGCTATGTGCTGAGGGAGTCCTAAAATTAAGACCTACAAGAAAAATTAGCAAGTTGCCCCACCCCTTAGGCATCAAATTTAAATGATCTAGACATACTCAAATCTAGGTTTCCCTTGTAAATAATGTGTAAGTGAGATAAAGTGATATTCCGTGATAAAATCAGAAAGATAAAAGGTTTCAATTGTTTTTTTTTGTTTTGTTTTGTTTTTGAGACTGAGTCTCAAAAACCTGTCATCCACACTGGAGTGCAGTGGTGTGTTCTCGGTTCACTGCAACTTCCACTTCCCAGGTTTATGCCTCAGCCTCCCCAGTAGCTGGGATTACAGACATGTGCTAGCAAACCTGGCTAACTTTTGTATTTTTTTTTTTTTTTTTTTTTTTTTTTTTGAGTAGGAGTTTCACTCTTGTTACCCAGGCTGGAGTGCAATGGCACTATCTCGGCTCACCGCAACCTCCGCCTCCTGGGTTCAGGCAATTCTCCTGCCTCAGCCTCCTGAGTAGCTGGGATTACAGGCACGCACCACCATGCCCAGCTAATTTTTTTGTATTTTTAGTAGAGATGGGGTTTCACCATGTTGACCGGGATGGTCTCGATCTCTTGACCTCGTGATCCACCCACCTCGGCCTCCCAAAGTGCTGGGATTACAGGCTTGAGCCACCGCGCCCGGCCCAACTTTTGTATTTTTAGTAGAGATGGGGTCTTACCATGTTGGCCAGGCTGGTCTTGATCCTGACCTCAGGTGATCCACCCACCTCGGCCTCCCAAAGTGCTGGGTTTATAGGCATAAGCCACCACACCTGACTGCTTCAATTGATTTGTTAAATTCCAAAGTAGTGAATTTCAGATCTTTGAGGTGCATCAGGATTACTTTGGGAACTTATTAAAATGCACATGCCTTAAATCCTATCACTTTAGAAGGCTGAGACGAGAGGATCACTGGAGCCCAGGAGTTTAAGACCAGCCTAAGCAACATAGGGAGACCCTGCCTCTGCAAAAATTAAAAAATTAGCCAGGTATGGTGGCATGTGCCTGTATTCCCAGATACTCAGGAGGCTGAGGTGGGAGGATTGTTTCAACCCAGGAGGCTGCAGGGAGCTATGATTGTGCCACTGCGCCCCAGCCTGGACAGCAGAGCAAGACCCCATCTCAAAAATTGAAAAAAAGGGTGGTTATGTTTTCAAACAAGAGCCCACAAACACAGCATCAAAACAAATACTGTCTTAATTTGTGTGAAGTACTGCTATGTGTTTAAATCAAGTTTGCAAAATCTCTTTCATGACAAGTTATTGGAAGAGTATTTCAAGGCTGGACTTGGTGGGTCATGCCTGTAATCCTAGACTTTGGCAGGCTGAGGCAGGTGGATCACTTGAGGTCAGTTCAAGACCAGCCTGGCCAATGTGGTGAAACCCCGTCTATACTGAAAATACAAAAATTAGCCGGGCATGGTGGCAGGTGCCTGTAATCCCAGCTACTCAGTTGGCTGAGGCAGGAGAATTACTTGAACCCAGGAGGTGGAGTTTGCATTGAGCTGAGATTGAGCCACTACAGTCCAGCCTGGGGACAGAGTGAGACTGTAACTCAAAATAAATAAATAAATAAATAAAAGTGTCAGTGTATATACACACTATCTTTTTTTTTTGTTTATGAAAATGACAAGGATAAGAAGGCGATGACAGGATAAATTGTCAAGATAAGACCAGGCCTCTGGAACATGTTTCATGAACATTAAAAGTGTTCAGTGTTCAAGAGACATATTACAGTCTATATCAGGTTTCATGAATTGAGAGCTCACACTCTTCATTTCTAGGAATTTAGGGTCCAGTTGACAGTTGGAGATCAGCACTGGGGAGCTGAGTGAACTAGTATTAAGAAGGTTAAACCAGGCATCCCCAAACTACAGCCCGCAGGCCGCATGCGGCCCTCTGAGTCCATTTATCCGGCCCCCAGCCACACTTCAGGAAGGGGCACCTCTTTCATTGGTGGTCGGTGAGAGGAGCACAGTATGTGGCGGCCCTCCGACGGTCTGAGGGACAGTGAACTGGCCCCCTGTGTAAAAAGTTTGGGGACGCCTGGGTTAAACACACAGCTGCTGCCAAAGCTTTGGAGGGAACAAAATTTTCTAAGCCCACAGTCTGCCCTTTTGGTAGTGAAGGAAGGAATCCAGGTCTTATGTGTGGGCCAAACAGTTTCAAAAGGGTGTCTAGAGGTACTGTTTAGTATGTATATGAATGATTTCTTAACAAACTTGTTGATTTTGAAAGCACAGATTCTACACTACCAGTGACAAATGCTTATATTTTTGGGGAATCATTAACCTCATTCTAAAACAGTGGTTTCCAATCTGTGGTCCTTCAACTCCTGACAATCTGGAAAGGCGGTCATAGGAAGGATGGCAGGTGACCATATGATTTCAAAGATTTCTGAAAAGTTTAATGAAAATAGGTTTTTTTTTGTTTTTTTTTTTGAGACGGAGTTTCGCTCTTGTTACCCCAGGCTGGAGTGCAATGGCGTGATCTCGGCTCACCGCAACCTCCGCCTCCTGGGCTCAGGCAATTCTCCTGCCTCCTGAGTAGCTGGGATTACAGGCACGTGCCACCATGCCCAGCTAATTTTTTTGTATTTTTAGTAGAGACGGGGTTTCACCGTGTTGACCGGGATGGTCTCGATCTCTTGACCTCGTGATCCACCCGCCTCGGCCTCCCAAAGTGCTGGGATTACAGGCTGAGCCACCGCGCCCGGCAGAAAATACATTTTTTGATAAGATTGTATAGATTACCAAGAATACAAGTTTTATCTATAGAGTCACATCAAGTCGGTGTGGTAGTACTGTTTGGAATTTTGTTGGTCAGAAGTGCTGATTGTCAATTGTATGTCTCTTAATTATTAAAAAAGAATGAGAAAATGTAAATACTACTTAAATACAAGGCAGCAGGTAGTATCTCTTCAAACAAGGGACCCACGCAGGGAGAATACTAATCCAGAAGGCGTGGCTGGTGAAGAGTTGGGGATCAGTGACCTGGAGGCTGTGTCAGGAATGGCTGTTTTAGCAGAGACTCCGTCACATGCATGAAGTAATTCCAGGTCTTGGTACGTAGGAAGGAATCTGGGAAGTTCTCAGACACATCTTTCTTGTTAATTTTTATTTCTTTGTGTTATACATTTTTCATATTTATTCTCTACTGCAGACACATTCTGTGGATCAGAGCTGCTCTTAAAATGATTCAGGCTATACTTAAAATGCAATTATATGAATTTTATAAAAAATATTCTAATGTAAGGGAGAGAGAGATCAGTAATTCATGTGGTCCTCTGTGCAGACCACAAAGATACTCTTATAAATTTGATTCAAGCATTAAATTTAGTTGAACCAATTATAGTACAGAATCAGGTCATTTTTATTTCTCTGGTATACATCCTAAAGAGGCATTTTAAAGTGGATTTTTGTGTGCATTTAGATTTTGTCATTGCCAGTGTTCTGTTTTTGATATGAAAGTGTTGTGTTTAAATATGATTGTGCACTGACACTGATCTTTCCAGACTGGTTTTCTTTTTAAATGGTTTGTAAAGGCCTATGCATTGGATAAACTGAGAGAAAAAAATTGGAAAATGAATAACGTGTATTTTCTGAAGTTGATAAGTTTGAGATAACCTGTTGTATATGAAAATGGAACTCACTTTCCTAACAAGCCGCCACAGGTTAGATTCCTAACAAGTTACCACAGGTCAAATTGTATTAGAAATGTCAAGAATGGAAATACCTGAATATTTTGTGGGCCTTGTGTGACTTCTCCAAGGAGAATTGGGTTGCCGCTTCCTCAGTGATTTTCACGTTTCCTTAAGGTGCACGTCATGTTGTATTGTAGCTCTTTGAGTGTACTTTGTGTTCTTTGAACTCCTCTGGGGCAGGAATTGTGTTTCTTAAGCTTAGCACAGTGCTTTGCATTCTAGTAATAAATGCATCATTCAGTAGTGTGTAGAGACATACTTCTGAGTGTAGCCAATAACCTTGTCAATTAGTACAACGAAGGTTATATTGATTAAGTATTCTCAAACAGTAAAACAATTTGGAGAGTTACGTAGGGTTTTTTAATCATGAAATTTGATGTGTTTTGGAACTTCTGAAAACTACCGTATAGCTTTAACTGATAATGTCATGGGGTTAAATTGTGGCTCCTCTTATCGCCCTCAGAGTAGATTTTGTGCTGTTGGCTGTGTATTAACATGGAGAAATCACAGCATATTCTTGGATTTCCTTGTCTGATGCCTAGCAGTGAGCCACCCAGGTCCTTTTGTGTAATGTATCATGAATCCAATTAGTAGAAAGCATGCTGTTACTTTTTATTTGAGTATCATTCTCATATCAGAAAAAAAACAGTTCTTTGTTGATTCTTTTTTGCAGAAAGCATAACCCCTACTGTAGAACTAAATGCACTGTGCATGAAACTTGGAAAAAAACCAATGTATAAGCCTGTTGACCCTTACTCTCGGATGCAATCCACCTATAACTACAACATGAGAGGAGGTGCTTATCCCCCGAGGTATGTGTGAGGTTTTTCTTTTTTTGTTTTGTTTTGTTGTTTTTGGTAAAACACAGGTAAAAATATGTCTGATCTCTTACATAAACTAGTAACCTCTAGATTGTGGCAGGAGTAATGATTTGGTTTGGCCCTGCCAAGTGTTGAAGTGAGTCTTTTTTTTTTTTTGAGACGGAGTTTCACTCTTGTTACCCAGGCTGGAGTGCAGTGGCACGATCTCGGCTCACTGCAACCTCTGCCTCCTGGGTTCAGGCAATTCTCCTGCCCCAGCCTCCCGAGTAGCTGGGATTACAGGCACGCGCCACCATGCCCAGCTAATTTTTTGTATTTTTAGTAGAGACGGGGTTTCACCATGTTGACCAGGATGGTCTCGATCTCTTGACCTCGTGATCCACCCGCCTCGGCCTCCCACAGTGCTGGGATTACAGGCTTGAGCCACCGCGCCCGGCTGAAGTGAGTCTTAGTTACGTTTGTGCCTTTGGAACTGTGTCTTTGTGCCCCTCCTTTTTTTTTTTTCCTGAGGAGGTTTTGCTCTGTCGCCCAGGCTACAGAGTACAGTGGCGCAATCTCAGCTCACTGCAACCTCCACCTCCCAGGTTCAAGTGATTCTCCCTGCCTTAGCCTCCTGAGTAGCTGGGATTATAGGTGCCCACCACCATGCTCGGGTAATTTTTTTTTTTTTTTTTTTTTCTTCTCCGATGCTCGGGTAATTTTTATTTTATTTTATTTTTTATTTTTTAGTAGAGATGGGGTGTTGCCAAGTTGGCCAGGCTGGTCTTGAACTCCTGACCTCAGATGATCTGCCTGTCTTGGCCTCTCAGAATGATGGGATTACAGGCGTGAGCCACTGTGCCCAGCTGCCCATCTTTTTTTTTTCTTTTTTTTTTTTTAAATTAATTAATTGAGACAGGGTTTCCCTATGTTGCCCAGACTGGTCTTGAACAGGGTTCAACGGGTTCTCCTGCATCAGCCTCCTAAAGTGCTAGGATTAGAGGCGTGAGCCACTACACCTAGCCCTGTGTGTTTCTGTAACTACTGCTCTTGGAAAGGGCCTGAGCATATTCCTCACTGGCAGTGTGGCTTGTGCCCTCAAGCAGTCTGGTTAAAGATCACCGTTGTAACTGCTTTGTGTAAATGAATTCTATTTGGACATGATTCCCATAGCATCATGATTCCTGCAATACAATGATTCCCAGCATTTGTAGATACCTTATTGTTGGGTACTTTTAGATTTTTGAACTTGTGAGCTTTGTAAATAGCTTTGGTGCAATAAAATATTAATTGAAACCTGCAAATGCCGTGCATTGAAAATCTTTTGCTCATGGTAATAAGACATTATTGGAAAGATGATGAGCAAAATGGTATTCTTCATTTCCCTGCTTTCTGTTTGGGGGTAAAGCCATTTAAAAAATATACGCTATGAGGCCGGGCGCGGTGGCTCAAGCCTGTAATCCCAGCACTTTGGGAGGCCCAGGCGGGTGGATCACGAGGTCAAGAGATCGAGACCATCCTGGTCAACATGGTGAAACCCCGTCTCTACTAAAAATACAAAAAATTAGCTGGGCATCGTTGTGCGTGCCTGTAATCCCAGCTACTCAGGAGGCTGAGGCAGGAGAATTGCCTGAACCCAGGAGGAGGAGGTTGCGGTGAGCCGAGATCGCGCCATTGCACTCCAGCCTGGGTAACAAGAGCGAAACTCTGTGTCAAAAAATAAAAAATAAAAAAAATAAAAATAAAAAATATACGCTATGAGATGGATAAGAAACTGGGTTCTGCTAGGTAGGCTACAGCTTGTTGGGATTTTTCGAAATGAGGGTCCTTCCTAAAAGACTTGTGCATTAAAATTCCCAGCCTCCTATTGGAGACATGCAAGTGTAAAGGTAAGGTTTGAGAAGGCATAGCGAGCTACGTTTCTGTCTCAGCCAAAGCCTAATTTATTTTAGATTTTGTCACTACAGGTTAGCATGATACATTGAATTCATAATTTATAAGCCATTGCATTTCATGAAACATGAGTTTGGATTGCTAAACACTCTTTGCTTATACTATGTAGAAATTCTAATTCAGTTTAAGCTTTTATGAAATCTGGATATACTGATGAAGAGTGATTAGCATCAAACACTAATGTGAGTAGGATCGTGATGAAGGGAAGATTTGCATTTGCTAGAGGATGTATGGGTGACTTACCAACTTGAGACTATAATTTGCCTAACCCCCTTTTATTTCTAGGTACTTTTACCCATTTCCAGTTCCACCTTTACTGTATCAAGTGGAGCTTTCTGTAGGAGGACAGCAATTTAATGGGAAAGGAAAGACAAGACAGGCTGCGAAACATGATGCTGCTGCCAAAGCATTGAGGATCCTGCAGAATGAGCCCCCGCCTGAGAGGCTGGAGGTGAGGAGCAGAGCCCAGGTTCTCTGACACTTTGGCAGGGTAGAAGGGTCATGGGGAGATGTCACTGTACGTTATCTTTTCTAAGAAGGCACATTGACAGCTGTCCATAATTTTTCTTTGAATGCCTCCAAAATTTTGTGCTCCGTAGCTTTCTTGCTTTTTACCCCTTTTTTCTTTTAAAATTAAGAAAATCAGTTGCCTTCTTTTTTACTTTATGGCATGGTTTTGAATGACATAATATGGTGTGAACATGTTAGAAAGTTTATGATTCAATTGAGTTGTGAAGAACACGTATGGATGAAGTCTTCAGTGCTGAAGATTAAGCTTGCCAGAATGTACTGTGATTTATTTATTTTTTATTTTTTATTTTATTATTTTTTTTTTGAGACGGAGTTTTGCTCTTGTTGCCCAGGCTGGCGTGCAATGGCGCGATCTCGGCTCACTGCAACCTCCGCCTCCTGGGTTCAGGCAATTCTCCTACCTCAGCCTCCTGAGTAGCTGGGATTAGAGGCACGTGCCACCATGCCCAGCTAATTTTTTGTATTTTTAGTAGAGATGGGGTTTCACCATGTTGACCAGGATTGTCTCGATCTCCTGACCTCATGATCCACCCACCTCGGCCTCCCAAAGTGCTGGGATTACAGGCTTGAGCCACCGCGCCCGGCCTATTTTTTATTTTTTTGAGACGGAGTTTCGTTTTTGTTACCCAGGCTGGAGTGCAATGGCGTGATCTCGGTTCACCACAACCTCTGCCGCCCGGATTCAAGCATTTCTGCCTCTGCCTCCCGAGTAGCTGGGACTACAGGCATGCGCCATCATGCCCAGCTAATTTTTGTACTTTTAGTAGAGATGTGGTTTCACCTTGTTGACCAGGATGGTCTTGATCTCTTGACCTTGTGATCGACCTGCCTCGGCCTCCCAAATGCTGGGATTATAGGCGTGAGCCACTGCGCCCGGCCCTACTGTGATTTATGATACTAGATTAGAGAATTTTCTGAAGCTGTTCTTGATCAGCCACTCTTGATTAATTAGAAGTGCCTGTTACCTATTGCCGCATAATGGACCATCACAACATTTAATGATGGTTTAAACATCTCCAGGCATTTATTTTGCTCATGAGTCTGCAGTTGAGGCAGGGCTTAGGCAAGGGTTGTTCCACACAGCTTTAGTTGAGGTGGCTCTGCAGGGGGATGAAGGATCTGCTTTTTAAGATGGCTCACTCATGTGGCTGGTAAGTTAGTGCTTGCTGTCAGCTAGGAGCTCAGCTGAGGCTCTGGCCCCAGGACCTCATTTCATCCCTGGGTGACCTATGGAAAAATTGCTTACACTTCCTCTTGGTATGGTGTCTGGTTGCCAAGGGTAAGCATCCTAGAAGATAGGAAATGGAAGCAGCTGCCAGTTTCTTAAGGCTTAGGCCCAGAAATCACAGCATTGAGTCTGCCATACTCTACTGGTCAAGTGGGCACGGAGCCCAGATTCAAAGGAAGGAGATAGAGAAACGTCACTTTTTAAAAAATTGAGGTAAAAATTATATAGCCTAAATTTACCACTTTAGGTGTACAATTCAGTGGATTTTAGTACATTCACAATATGGAGAATCCTACTTTCAAATGAAAGGATTGTCAAAGAATTAGGGGACATGTTTTAAAACCACCATGATAGGAAAAAACATTTTTGTCACTAAACAGCAATATAATTCTTAGGGAATCAGTAACTCCATGCCATTAAGGGGTCAGAGCATTAGTGAATATCTTTGGCCAGGTAGAATCTTAGCACAGATAAAGTCACAAAGTCCAGAAGAAGCCCAGTGAATTGAAAACATTGAGATGTCATAATTCTGTTTAATCACAGCAGGAAATGCCACCTGAAAATATCTCTGGGTAGCATTTGACTTTTCTTCCCCAGGAAACATGTTCACAAAGAACAAGAAGAACTTCAGAGAACAGTGGGCTAAGTGTGTGATGAGAGGTGTAGACCCGAGTGGTCCTTGGGCAGGGTGCCTGCTGAGGTCTGTTGTATCCAGTTGCCACCCAGGGCGACCCAGCTCAGGCTTCATGGCTGGCCACACAGAAGTGATTTGTTTTTCTTTTGTTATGTTGGGTTTCCATTTTCCACTGTAATCACCTATTCTAACAGATGATCTGTTTCCAGGGCCCACTGAGGACCAGATAAAAGAAAATGAGGCTGTAGCTAAAAGAGGAGGATTTAGTGACGTTAAAAGGATGAGCTTTTCAGTGGCAAGATTTGTTAAAACATCAAAAATGTAGTAGTATAATATGAATTATTTTGGAGGCTTTTCAAGTTTTTTACTTGACTGGTGCTAATTTAATTGGAGTCAGATGGAGTAGGTATTTCTAGTACCTTCCAGCCAACAGTCGATAAACAATTGCTGGGCACTGATACAGGGATTTTCTGCATCACAATCACTTGAGAAGTTAAAAAAAGAAAAATTCTAGGCCCAACCCGAGGATTCTAACGCAGTAGGTCTAGGGTAAGACCCAGGAATCTGAATCTGGCTTTTGCATTTTTTTTTTTTTTTTTTTTGAGACGGAGTTTCGCTCTTGTTACCCAGGCTGGAGTGCAATGGCGCGATCTCGGCTCACCGCAACCTCCGCCTCCTGGGTTCAGGCAATTCTCCTGCCTCAGCCTCCTGAGTAGCTGGGATTACAGGCACGCGCCACCATGCCCAGCTAATTTTTTGTATTTTTAGTAGAGACGGGGTTTCACCACGTTGACCAGGATGGTCTCGATCTCTTGACCTTGTGATCCACCTGCCTCGGCCTCCCAAAGTGCTGGGATTACAGGCTTGAGCCACCACGCCCGGCCTTTTTTTTTTTTTTTTTTTTTTTAAAGGCAGTCTCCCTCTGTCACCCAGGCTGGAGTATAGTGGAAGTGGAACGATCTTGGCTCACTGCAACCTCCATCTCTTGGGTTCAAACGATTCTTGTGCCTCAGCTTCCCGAGTAGTTGGGACTACAGGCTCTCACCATGATGCCCAGCTAATTTTTGTATTTTTAGTAGAGATTTAGTTTTCAGCATGTTGCCCAGGCAGGTCTCAAGCTCCTGAGCTCAGGTGATCTGACCCCTTTGGCCTTCCAAAGTTCTGGGATTATGGGTGTGAGCCACTCAGCCATGTTGTTGTTAATGAGCTCTTGGAGTGATTCTGAGGTATGGTCAAGGTTGGAGAACCACAGATCTAAATGCTGTCAGCACTTCCCCAGGAGTCAGTCCTCCATGAGAGTGATCACAGTATTGCTACAAAGGATGAGCTCCTTTTAGAGTTTCTGAGTCTTGCGCTCTCACTCACTAGAGCAGCATTGGTTGACACAGTCCTGCGGGCAGTGGCTGTTATAGATGTGTTTTCCTGAGCTGAGTTTTCACTGGCTTCTGTGAAATCTCAGAGGAGCTTTGCTGGGAGCGGTGTTTAAATCTGCTTGTGCCCCTTGACTTTTCTCCTCCGTGGCCCTTTTCTAGCTATATAGAGTTTGAAGTAGAGACCATGCCTTTCAGAAATGGCTTAAAGTCTGGCCTTGGCCAGTGAAATGAAGAGTCATTAACTCAGAGAAGACAAACTTGAAGAACTAGATGAGTATCCCTTATCCTAAATGCATGGGACCAGAAGTGTTTTAGATTTCAGAGCTTTTTTTGATTTTGGAATATTTTTCCATTATACATAATGAGATATCTTGGGGATGGGACCCAAGTCTAAACATAAAATTTGTGTTTCATATACATCTTATACACAAAGCCTAAATGTAATTTTATTTTTTTCTTGGGGATATTGAATAAACTGTTTTGACTGTATTGCGTTGCAGAAGGTCATGTATGGAATTTTCCACTGGTGGCGTCATTTTGGTGTTCAGAAGTTTGATTTTTGGAGCATTTTAGATTTTGTATTTTTGAATTAGGAATGATTAGCCTATAGTAAGTGAAATACTTGGCCTCTTTCGTAAATATGTTGCCCTTCATTTTATCAGGCACTGTGATAGTGGGCAGTAGGGGAATAAAGAGAGACAGCTTTTAAAGATAACTTTTTTTTCCCCTTAAAAATAGCACATAGGGGCTATAAAAAATACTAAATTAAAAAACAAGGAAAAATAAATGATTTATAAAGTTACCACTTACAGATAATCACATATAGACCATTTGGTGTATATTCACTGACAAGCACATATGCAGGTAAATACAGGTGCCTATCTATTTCATAAAAGTGGCATGACAGTGTACAGTAACCACCTTTTTTTCACTGATGGATATATCTTGAATATGTTACGTCATTTACTTATAATTCTTTGGAGGACTCATTCATTGCACACATAAGCACTTTTTTTTTTTTTTTTTTTTTGAGACGGAGTTTCACTCTTGTTACCCAGGCTGGAGTGCAATGGCGCGATCTCGGCTCACCGCAACCTCCGCCTCCTGGGTTCAGGCAATTCTCCTGCCTCAACCTCCTGAGTAGCTGGGATTACAGGCACACGCCACCATGCCCAGCTAATTTTTTGTATTTTTTTAGTAGAGACGGGGTTTCACCATGTTGACCAGGATGGTCTCGATCTCTTGACCTCGTGATCCACCCGCCTCGGCCTCCCAAAGTGCTGGGATTACAGGCTTGAGCCACCGTGCCCGGCACATAAGCACTTTTTAATGGCTGCAGAATATTCTGTGTGAATGCACTGCTTTATTTTCCAACAGGGACTTGATTTTTAGGTTGTTTGCAGTTTTCCCTCTTATAAAATTGGTCAGGAAGAACATTGTTGCAGTAAAGTCTTTGTCTACAGTCCTAGAAGTGGAATTGCTGAACCAGAGGGCATACATGGTGGTACATACGGCCAAGTTCCCTACAGAAAGAGGGTGCCATTTTAGAACCTGTGGACAGTCCATAAGCAGCCTGTGTGTCCAGAGCCTGGCAACATTGGAAGTGATCATTTTAAACAAATTGTCAGTGTTGCTGTGGAAAATTTGTGGAGCATGTGATTGTGTGGTGGATCAGTGCATCTTCT